TGGGTGAAATATAAACAACAGAAATCTCCACCAGTTCTGGAGGCTGGGAAGTCCAAGATCAAGGAAATGGTAGATTTGATGTCTGGTGGAGGCTGCTTCCTGGCTCCTAAGCAGCTGTCTTCTCTGTGCTCTCACATGGTGGAAGGGATGAAGGAATTTGCTGGAGTCTCTTTTATATGGGCACTAATCCTGTTCATGAGGGCTCCATCCTCATGACCTAATTACCTCTTAAAAAGGATTTGAGCAGCATCTTAGGGACAGCCTAAAAATGCTTCTATCTCCCCCTTTGAATCATCTACTTTTCACTATGTTCTAGCCCCACTCTGCCACTAAATAGCTGTAATATGATTTTGAATGACACATTTTCCCATCTGCAAAATAGTGGGTTGGCCCAGAAAACTATAAGGCAGTAGTTTTCAACTTATGGTATAAGGACCCCTTTCAACTTTTAAAAATTATTGAGAACCCCCTCAAATTATTAAAATTTCAGCTCAGGGGGTTTCTATCTATTGCTATTTTCCATATTACAAATTAAAACAAACTTTAAAAAATAAACATTTATTAATTCACTGAAAATAACAATAACAAACCCATAACATGTTAACATAAATAACATTTTATGAAATATAACTAGATTTTCTCAAACCAGAAAATGTAATGAGTGGTATTGTCTTATGTTGCAAATCCTTTCATTGATTGGGGTAATAGAAGATTGCTGGATTCACATATGTGCATTTGCATTCAATCTGTTGTGACCCCAATATCACATGACTTCTCAAAGCTCCACTGTACACTCATGAGACAGTGAGAATAGGAAAGGCAAATAACAGCATTGCTATGAAAACAGTTTTGACCTAACAGACCTCCTGCAAGGATCTCAGGGGCCCTCAAGAGTTCTGGAATATTCTTTGAGAACTGCTGTTATAAAGTAAACTAAGCTATCCTACAGGTGGGAGTAGTGATTTTTTGATGATCCAATGAGACAGTATATTCTGGGGACCCCTTTCTTAGAGTGCCTTTGCCTTTGCCTTTGCAAGCATTCTGGAACAGCAAGTTTTCCTCATGTGTTTATGCAAGTGCTGGTGGGTTTGTGCTGGGACTGTGACAGGCTTGAGTGGGATACTGCATATTTGTGGGAGCAGGGACAGGAAATGGGGGAAGGAAATGAGCACCATGCTTATCTTTTCCCAACAAGCTCTGGGTGAGACCCTGAAGCTGCATTTGCAGGGCCTTTGTCCTGAGATTCTGCCTGATCTTTTCTCAAATCGTGGCTTTGGGAGTGAAGCCCCTGGACGCCTCCTCCACTGCCCCTTAGATTCTGCTTCTGGCCCTTGGGGGCGGTCACTGGGCTCTGAGATTACAGGGAAGCAGTTGTTCGAATGGTAGTTGGGAGGGGAAGGGCTTTTCCTCCTCTGAAAGTCCTGAGAAAAATGAACACTCTGGGCCTTCCCCATGACACTCCTTCCTGGTTTCCTTGCACAGGTTCCTCGATACCAGGAAAAATTTTCTGTGCAAGGCAAACATTTTCTAGGTACCAAATGATCAATGTGAAGAAAAGCTAAGTATTGTCACGAAATAGTTCATGAGGTCACTGACTTCTTCATTCTAGAAAAGTGATTCAGAAGTTTGAAGTTACAAACGATCTGCTCATTCAATAAGTAAGAATAGATTCAGAAGTGTTCTTATCACTTCTCTCTTACATACATGCATCCTGGCTTACACTGTAAGATAGTAGTTAGGACATTAAATCTTTGGAAATAAGAAAGAGCTGGGTTCATATCCTTGACCTCCCACTTAACAGCAATGGGACTTTGGGGAAAATGTCAACCTTTCTAAATCTCAAATTCCTCATCTGTAAAATGGAGGTGATTTAGTTTGAGTGGTCCCAGAGCAGAGCTAAATGGGGCTGGTGGTGAGGGTGATCTCAGCAGAAATGTAAAAGAAAATAAGACAGATGAGGAGGAAAAATCAGTGTGGTGCATGATTGGGCTGGTTACCACTCTGGACAACAGGCTAAATTCTGCCAGAGACCTGTGAGAGACCATGTAAAATGCACCCCAGGGTTATCCTGAGACATTTACCCAGAGTCTCATATCACAGAGGTTGAAGACTGCCCAGGGGCCACTACTTTCCCCAGGGAAGAGTAAGTCCCTCATGCAGCTGTGGCTGAAATTAAAAGTGGGTCACCGGATGTGACATGAGGCATGCGAGGTATCTGCCACAGGAAATAAATATTATCCAGGTCACAGAGTAACTGTGATAATTAAATGCAACAATGTCTACAAAATGTTTAGCCTTGTACCTGGCATGTAGCTAAGTGCCTACCAGGTGTTCAGTTGATAGTGCCTGTGGCTTTGTTCTTCTCATCATCATGATTGTTACTTTCTTGACTGGGAGAGATGGTGAATGTGTGGCTTAGGGGTCTCCAGGGATGGTGCACAATCCACAGCCTCTCTCCTCTGTACCACAACCTGTGTGATTAACCATGACCTGTGACCAATTGTTGCGCTTATGCTTTGTGGGATTGAAATATGAGCAAGATTTATTTACTTAAGGACTTGAGTAATGACATTCCAGAGGAGGTAACATCATAAACAAAGTCGTGGAGGTGGGAGGGAAAATGTTATATTTACAGGCTATAGGATGAACCAGAGGAGGGTTTAGAGAACAAGGTAGGGTGGGGCTTGGCTTCCCAGGGCCTGGACAGTCAGGTAGTTGAGTGTGGGTCTGATGGGCTGGTAGGAGGCAGGACACTCCGGGTTTCTGAGCATGCTGGAGGCTGAGGTTACACCAACGAGTATGGCAAGATGTGGTCAGCACAGGTTGATTTTGCCTTTAACCTTCAATCTCTCCTCCGCTAGTGGGAGTACTTTGATTTCCTTAGAACCTCTGTGCTACCCATATGGCACCGTGGCCCTAACTCCATGCTCAGGTTCAGTGATTGGGGGATCGTGAACCAGATCCCGCTAGCAGGAATCTTAGCAAGTGTTTCAGGGATAGGGCCAGGGACTTTGCTGGAGCAATCATTATCATTCTTCTGTGATGGCAAAACTGGTGAGAGGTAAGTCTGGAGCTGTGGACGCTAACCTGTTGCTGCAGGGGAAGAGGCTGAGCATTAAACCAGTCCAGAGAAAAGCAGAGCCGAGGGACAGGAGACATCTGATGACATGATCTGAACACCTGGACCCCGCTGAGCCTGAAGTGGCACCTGCCTCTGAGCTCCAGCTATTAGCCAGTTTCAAGTAGGTTTCTGCCACTTGCCACCAAAGAAGTCCTGAATAATGAATAATCAGGGATGAGTGGGATGGCTTAGGGTGGGGGGAGATGAGAGTCAGAGTGGCCACACCAGTGACTGTGGCAGGATTCAGGTGTTAGGTATTGAGGGTCTGAATCAGGAGACTATGGGAATAGTTGGGAAAGGAGGTGGGCCAAGAGGCGAGAACAAGCTATCTTTTCCTCTCAAAACTGTGCAATCAGTGTCTTATGACTCTTTACTATCCCTTCCTGTCTGGCACCCCTTACCTGCTCTCTTTCAGTTGGTTTTGACAATTTAGTGAGGCTAGTCAATCATGTTTTCTCGTTCCCATTTTATAGCACAGAGAGCCTAAAGGACTTGCCCAAGGTCACACAGGAACTCGGGGCTTAGCTCTGATTCTCTAGTTCGTGCTAGATGGGCTCTTGATTGTGCACAGTATGGACTGATGTCACCAGGCATGGTCTTTCTGGCACCTTAGGGTGGACACACACCCCTACCCCCAGGACAGGGAGAAACAGTAGGAGTTCTTACTGATAAAAGGCCCGAGAGCCCGTGACCCCCTTCATTAAAAATAAATTTTGCCTGAGTCTCCTGGTTCTAAATAGATGAAAATGTAGATTTGGGGCAGAACCGAAGGGAAAGGGATTTCCCTTGGCAAATTATTTGCAATTTGTGGATTGGAGCTGACCCAGCTCCAATTCCCACGTCATTGTGAGCACTGTCTAAAATGCGACCAGCTTATTAAAGAACCAGAGCTGGAGGCAATCCTCCCATGGGGGGTGCAACAAAACAGGAACAGAGTTAAACCCATCAGCTTCCTCCTCACAGTGTCTCATGTCCAGGAGCTGCACAGAACCTCACCCACCAGCTACACATTCACTCATGGGCAGCCACTTCCTGAGGCTGCGGGAAGAAGAGCAAGCACATTTACAATTGGTTTGTGCTTTTCCTTAGGCATTAGGAAAAGCTAGCTGTCACAAGTACTTAGATTAGTAGTCCTCAGACTCCAGTAAGCAATGGAGTGCATGTTCTTAAGTGTCACTGCCAGAAATTCTGAGTCAGTGGGGGGCCTGATGCCTGCCTTTGTAATAGCATCCCAGGGGATTCTGAAGCAGGTGGTCCTGGGACCACAGTTTGGGAAACAGTGATGGAAGAGGACAAATGCACAAACCCCGAGTGGCCCTTTGATCAAAGGTTTAAAGATGCTGCTGTCGCTGGCACAAGTCCTGGGAGACACAGTGTTCCGACCTTACCTACAGGGGCTATTACTCACTGGCATCATTTGAGGGACATTTCTCTGAAGAGCTGCTGAATCTAGACTTCTGAGCATTTATGGTCTCCAGGACTCCTTTTAAATCATGAACAGCTTATGGAGAACAGCACTTGTGTTGTTTTTTTTTTAAAGGAAAATTCTCGGTGTGGCGCATCCACAGCACATTAGAGTGTAAATGCAGCTCATCTGTCTTCGTGGTCCAGCCCACCAGAGCCCTGGACTCTTCTCATCACCTTTCTCTGTCCCCAGGCACTGTACCTGAGATGTAGAGACCCAGGGAGAAGGGCTTTAAAAAGTCTCCTGCCAACTTTTCCTTCCTTAGGGCATTTCTATTAACAAAACCCTAAAGAAAATCAATGGATTCCTATTTCCTCATCCAGCTTGTTTTATGTCATCGTCCTTCTCAAATTAACTGTGGAATCAATGGGCGAGGGAGAGTCCATAGACCTTTGCAATAACATCGACTGGATATGCAATGAATCTGAAAATTCCATTTATTAAAACAAATACATTATTCATGTGGGCATTATCCATGTGGGATGAAAATGTACACATCACATTCAGGTTTTCCTGCTTTAACATTTCTATGTATCCCTCTTTTTGAAAGACACACTCCATAAATTTTTATAGGAAAAATGTGAACAATTTTTGGTTGGGCTGGGAAAACATTAATGTATATGTACCAACTTACCATTGCCAGGAGCATCTAGAGCCAAAAAAAGAAAAAAAATACAAAAATTCCCTCAGCATGCTTGATTTCTCAAAATTCTATTTGTGAATATATATGTTGAGTATTTATTTAAAATTTTTCCTTGGTAAGCAATTTCTTTCAAATACTATTAGCAAAATTAGCCTCAGATCCAAGAACTTATTTGAAATCTCTGATTTAAATAGTACTTTGTTTAAAGTTGAAAATGAAAAAGAAAAAGAAAGAAATCAGAGTTAATACTGAAGGATGATGCAAGATTTTCTTTTGAACTAATTCCATGGCAGATTTTCATTACTATCCAATGCATTATACAGAAATTAGGGCCTTGAATAATTAAGTTTTCCTATTAGCTACCCCTTAAGATAAAATTATGCTGGTGAAAATGATTATTGAGTTTCTAAAATAATTAAAGCTATTTAGAGGCTTATTAAGTAATCAAAAAAAAAATTTTCCCCCCTTAGCAAGTAGAAAGACCAATAAGCCAAAACTCATATAAAGACTGGCATTAGTTTCACACTGTAGGACATGACATTATGAAAAAGCCAAAACATTTATATTGATTTCAGATGGACTGTGTATTTTCTGTCTTCTCTCTGCTTTCAATAAACAAGGTCACAAGTGGTTTGGAACTGCCTTAACTTGTAATAAGCAGAGCCATATTATGGTGCTTCCTAAAAGCTTTTATTCCATTCTAATTGCTCCAAAGATCTAGATTTACATGAAAATATAGTCACTTTGAGAAAAATAAATGGTGTGGATCATGAACAAATCTTCAGGATCTTATAATGACACCTTAATTACCACCAAAGAGTGCTTTATTCACAGCTGTTATGTTACCACATATTTAATTTAATTCATATTTTGGCTCATTTAAAAAATGTGACACAATTTTAGCTGATTCCACAGTACTACCAAATGAATGGTGCAATACTGTAGTTTAATCAATATTCTGCCAGAGTTTTTCCCCTTTAAATCTTCATCAATGTTCCACTGACTGTAACAGAATCCCAAGGGCTGAACAGAAGTGTCTGGTTACAGAAGTGCATTCACACACTTCACAAATATCTCAGTATTCTCTTGTCCCTGCTCCAGGCCCGTGAGCTTTAATTGGATCTACTTACTCTTCTACCATTGTACCCATAAAAAGAGCTAAGGGAAATATTTACCAAGGCTGCTTCAAAATCCATTCTCAGTGTATCAAGTCTTTTTATCTTTGCTTTTCCTCTTTCATCATCTCTTTTTTGTTTTCATTTTTTTAAATGGGAGGGGGAGAATAAAATTAATTTGGAAAAAGTCTTTTGGGATTTCAAAGCAAACACGGAGATGTAAGAGAGGCCCTCCTCTGCTTGGGAATGGCACAAGCTTCCAGAGTCTTCCTTTACTGATGGAGGCTAGAGCTGTGAGGAAAAATGATACTTTTTCAGTATCATCTCTTGGGAAGAGAGCGCTCTAGCTGCAAGGCAGTTGTGTGTAAAGACTGAGAGACCCTAACAAACAGGGTGGAGAGCTGTTTGAAAGAAAAAGAAAGAAAAGATTCTACTGAAAAATTTGGTGAGTGAAATACTGAAGACCATCTCAGAGGCGAGAAGAGCCAGCACCCTTTGCGGTGGAGCTGGTTGCGGGGTGAAACCTGCCCCTTTCACCCCGGCCGGTGAGCAGCCACGCTTCTGAGAATGGGTCTTCTCTGGAGCCATGGACTTATTTCTCCTGATACTTCTACAAACAAGGGCCACATTTTTCTTATTAAGAAGAGTGTAGAAAGTGTCCTTTCCATCTGGAATTCCCATGATTTAGGGAAAAAGGGAATCTGCCCTTACTCTACCACCCAAGACCCTCCCAACAAACAATGAATCTTCCCCTCTTCTGTTTGGCAGTACTTGTCTTGCCCTGGATCCTGGATAAAACCAAAATGCCTTGGATTCTGAAAAATATGTTGAAGAGGTGTTTACACACTGTTAACTAGGAGGTATTTAGGCATGGGTAAGGCTCTGCAGTAATTTCAGTTTTCAAGGTACTGAGGTTTTTCCTCTCCAGCCTCTTTTCTCTCTCATTCTTTCTCCAAGCCTTTCAGTAAAACAACAAAACTTCTGAATGGATGTAACACAGGGCCACTTTCATGCAGTATTACTCAAAAATGGTCACAAATAATATGAAAGCACCAGTTACAACACGTTTACTTTTACTTGCAGAATAAAAGCTATCATGTACAGATGTTAGGGATTGTGGGAAGAGAACACAGACAACCAACATGTTTTGTTGTTCTTACCATGAGGGTAAACCATGGGGAGCAGCTCCCTAAACATTCGGGTGCTCATCCTTGGGGTCAGGCTTACATACAAATCCAGTTTTATCCCTGTACTACTCTAGTTGGGATGAGAAGAAGGACAGGGAAGGGAGAAGGAAAACAGAAAAAGACACAAGGACTAAACATCAATCCGATTAAACCAGACTGCAGCCACATTGGACAACTCAGCTTACAAAGGGTATTCTAAAGGCAATATTACGTCCAAGAAGGTCATACATAGCTCAGCTCAGTACAGCTGTCTGTTTTAATTTTTATTTTTTTAAATATAAAGCAGAAACATAAGGTTTGGGGAGGTAAAGCAGAAAAGAAATGACACCGATTTTATCTTTACATATTCCCCTCCTCCAGGCAGCTCTGCAGATAGCAGATCTCTTAACTCAAGATGCAGATCAGCTTCATTCTCATAAAGGGGACCGACCAGTTCTTTAAACATGCACAGCCTGGAGTTTTCAGGATGGTTCTCCTTTCTCTCTTTAAATGCTGTGGACTAGAAAGGCGCCCACTTTGCTAAAAACTCTACATCAGTGTCCCAGGAGCTGAGGCTCTTCAGGCTCTTAGTGAAGACTTAAAGGATAGCACAGAAAAACTTCTTCTCTCTAAATGGGTTCTCTGAAGCCGGAACAGGGGTCAGGAGGGGATCTTCCTTGGCATGCGCTTCACAGTAGGCCATCAAGTCTGCAGCTGCCTTGGACACCTGGAAGGGAGAAAAAACCACCGGAACCTTAGACGCGGCACTGACACAGGTGTAGGCAGTCAAGGCTCAGGCTTTGGGGTCCACGTTCAAATCCTTGCCCCACCACTTATTAGCTCATGCGAAAGTGAAACAAGATACTTAACTTCCATAAACCTTGTTTCCTTACCTGCAAAGAAAGGAGCTGATGCTCTTGGCCCCGCAGGATTATTGCAAGCGGGTCTGGAGCTAGTGCGAGTAAGGCACGTAGGACACACTGGGACACACATGGAACAGGCACTCCTGCTAGGGTCCTTCGAGTATCAACCACCCTCGCATGGCTCTGGGGATGGGTGTCTCCTTGAATTCTGTGCCCAGCTACCTCACTTGCCTTGTCCCAGTCCCAGCCCAGGTAGCAAGGTTTGAATGAGATAATCCACATAAATCATTTAGTGCCTAGCACGTGGTGAGCTTTCCACACAGACTCACCATTATTATCATTCTGCACTTGCAGCTCTGCTTCAAGAATTGTGCTAGGATGCCTATTGCCAGGTTGAATTCCTTCATCAACAATCGAGGGATATACATATACATATGAAGTTATGTGTATGTGTGTATATATAATGAACACATAATTTTATATATCATATATTCTATATTTATATTATATTTATCATTGTACATTATAATTTATTATACATATATATATTATTTTACTCAAGCATTGTACCTTTAGGGAGTTCCAGTGGGAAGCCGGTCAAAGATTTCAGTGATGCTGTCATTTTTCACAACATTTCTGTAGCTCCTTCTTGGGAGCTGTCTGGAGTACCTTCCTCCAGAAGTGGAGGAAATTCGACAATGACAAATTTTCACTACTTGAGGGTGGTTTAATTTGGGGAAATAAACTAAAAATTCTTTGTAACTACATCTGGTAGTAGGTGGATGATCCACTTCAGGAATGCCATTTGGGATCAAAACTGTAAAGTCAAGAGTCAGTTTCTTACATGACATAATACAGCTGTCCTGGAGATGACTGCAAATATTTTTCAATATCACTATAATACTAAGATAGCCTCTCAAAGCAGCTACTGAAAGGATGATCCTTTGTAAGAGTGGGGTAGATCATATCATTGCCAGAAAGATTCACTGGCCCTCCCTACAGGTGGATGATATACACCCACACAATGACACCGGACTGCTCGAGTTAATGAGATGTGAGCAGAAATGATGTGGGTCACTTCGGGCCAGGATTCCTGACAATGGTGACATGGTGTGGAGTGGCTCCTGATCTGTGAGGAGCATGAGGTGGGTGTAAGAAGTATGCCTTTGTTGTAAGACCTTAGGAATGACAGAGGGGGAGACGGCCTTTTGTTACTGCAACAAAACCTAGTCTACCCTGACTGATATAGAGAAGTGTAAGTATTAGAATGTGTGATAGCTTCCTCTTCCTGAACACATTGCCACAAACTGGGTGATTCAAAACAACAGAAAATTATTATCTCACAGTCAGTGCCAGAGGCTAGAAGTTCAAAATCAAGGTGTCAGCAGGGTTGTTTCCTACTGCAGGCCCAGGGAGCATCTGTTCTGTATTTCTCAAGTAGAATCTGGTGGTCAGCAGTCATCCTTGGTGTCCCTTGGCATGGAGATGCATCACTCCAGTCTCTGCCTTCCTCTTCACATGGCCCTCTCTCATGTGTCTCTTGTCCTCACATGGCATTCTGCTCTTTGTGACCAAATTACCACCTATCAGTTATTGGATCAGGGCCCACCTTAATCAGTAGGACCTCATTTTAACTTGATCATATCTACAAATATTTTAATTCCATTTAAGATCACCTTCTAAGGTTCCAGGTAGACATATATTTTATAAGACACTGTGCAGTATGTTTATTTGTGTTAAAGTCACTCTTGCTTTTCTAATTTAAAATCATCTTTTTTTCCAGCTTGAGATATAATTGACATAGAACATTGTGTGAGTTTAAGGTGTGCAATGTAATGACTTGATGTCCTTCTATATTGTGAAATGATTACCACAGGAGGGTTAGTTACACATCCAACACCTCAAATAGTTATGTGTTTTTTTTGGTGTGGTGAGAATATTTAAGATCTACTCTCTTAGCAACTTTCAAGTACATAATACAGTATTGTTAACTCTAGTCACCATGCTGTACACTAGATCCTCAGAATTTATTCATCTTATAATCGGAAGTTTGTGGCCTCTGACTGACATTGTTCCATTTTCCTCACCACACAGCCCATAGAAACCACCATTTTATTCTCTGTTTCTATGAGTTAGGCTTTTTAGATTCTGATAAGTGAGATAATACAGCATATTCCTTTATGTCTGACTTATCTCACTTAGCACAATGCCCTCGAGGTCCATCTGTATTGTTGCACATAGCAAGATTTCCTTCTTTCGCATGGTGAATAATATTCCATTGTATATATAAAACACATCTTTATCCATTCCTCCATCAATGAACATCTAGGTTATTCCTTATCTTGGCTATTGTGAATTATGCTGCAGTGAATATGGGCATGCAGATACCTCTTGAAGATCCTGTTTTCATTTATTTCCTTTGCATATATACCCAGTAGTAGAATGCTGGATCATATGGTAGTTCTATTATTAATTCTTTGTCCTCAATAGCTCCATACTGTTTCCCATAGTGGCTGTAACAATATACCTTTCCACTAACAGTGTACAAAATTTCCCCTTTCTCCACATCCTCACCAACACTGGTCATCACTTGTCGTTTTGATAAAAGACATTCTAACAAGTGTGAAGTGATATCTTATTTTGGTTTTTATTTGCATTTCCCTGATTAGTGATGTTGAGCATACTTGTTTTCATGTACCTGTTGGCCATTCATATATCTTCTTTGGAAAAATGTCTACTCAGTTCCTCTGCCCATTTTAAAAATCAGATTGCCTTTTTAACTATTGAGTTGTATGAGTTCTTTATGTAGTTTGGATAGTATCCCCTTATCACTTATATGGTTTGCAAATATTTTCTTCCACTAAATATTTTGTGTTTTCATTTTGTTGACTGTTTCTTTTGCTGTGCACTAGCTTTTTAGTTTCATGTAGCCACACTTAATTATTTTTGCTTTTGTTGCATGTGCTTTTGGCATCATATTCAAGAAATTGCCAAGACCAATGTCAAAGAGCTTACCCCTTATATTTTCTTCTAGGAGTTTCACAATTGCAGGTCTTATACATAAATCTTTGATTCACTTGGAGTTAATTCTTGTGAGTGGTATAAGATATGATTCCAGTTTCATTCTTTTATATGTGATTATCCAGTTTTCCCAACACAATTTATTAATGAGACTATCTTTTCCCTATTGAGTATTCTTGGCTTCCTTTTTAAATGTTATTTAATTATTAATTATTTCTTGGCTCTATTCTATTCTATTGGTCTATGAGTCTAATTTTATGCTACACTGTTTTTAGTATTATAGTTTTGTGATATTGTTTGAATCAAGAAGTGTGATACCTCCAGCTTTGTTCTTTCTCAGGACACTTTGACTATTCAGGGTTTTTTGTGGTTCCATATGAATTTTATGATTGTTTTTCTATTTTTTTGAAAAATACCTCTAGAGTTTTGATAGAGATTGGATTGAATCTGCAGATGCCTTTGGATAGTATGGCCATTTAAATAACATTAATTCTTCTGATCCATGAACCCAGGATATCTTTCCATTTATTTGTGGCTTCCTCAATTTCTTTAATCAAAGTCTAATAGTTTTCAGTGTCCAGATTTTTTCACATCATTGGATAAGTTTATTCCTAAGTATATTGTTTTTGATGCTCTTGTCAATGAGATTTTCTTTGTTTCTGTTTTCAGCTATTTCATTGTCAGTGATTAGAGACACAACTGATTTCTGTGTGTTGATTTTGTATCCTGCTACTTCATTGATTGTTGATTTCTAACAGTTCTTCAGGTGAAATCTTTAGGATATTCAAGATCATATTATTTTCAAACAGTTGTAGTTTTACTTCCTCCTTTCTGATTTAGATACTAATTTCTAACAGTTCTTCAGGTGAAATCTTTAGGATATTCAAGATCATATTATTTTCAAACAGTTGTAGTTTTACTTCCTCCTTTCTGATTTAGATACTTTTAATTTTTTTCTTGACTGATTGCTCTGGCTAGGATTTCTAGTATTTTGTTGAGTAGGAGTGGTGATAGTTGGTACCCTTATCTTGTTTCTGATCTTAGAGGAAAAGCTTTCAGTCTTTCACCACTGAGTATGATGGTAGCTGTGGGCTTGTCATATATGGCTTTTATTGTGCTGAGGTAGGTTCTTTCTATGCCCAATTTGTTGAGAGTTTTTATCATGAAAAAATGTACTTTGTTAAGTGTTTTGTTCTGCACTTACTGAGATGACCATAAGATTTTTTAAATCTTCCATTCTATTAACATGATGTAGCACAGTTACTGATTTGTATATATTGTTCTTGTATTCTAGGGATAAATTCTACTTAATTGTGGTATATGATACTTTTAATGTGCAGTTGAATTCAATTTGCTAATGTCTTGTAGAGAACTTTTGTATCTGTATTCATCAGAGATATTGGCCTGTAGTTTTCTTTTCTTGTAGTATCCTTACCTGGCTTTGGTAGTGGAGTAATGCTGGCCTTGTAAGATGAGTTTGGGAGGGTTCTTGAGAAGAATGTGTATAATACTGCTGCTGTTGGAAAGAATGTTCTGAATATGTCTGTTAGGTCCTTTTAGGCTAAAGTGTAATTCATATCCAGTGTTTCCTCACTGACCTACTGTCTGGGTGATCTATTGATTGTTGAAAGTGGGCTACTGAAGTCCCCTACTATTATTTTACAGTTATCTAGTTCTCCCTCAGGTTAGGTAATATTTACTTAATATATTTAGGTGCTCTAATATTGGGTGCATATATATTTATGAATGTTATTTATTCTGATGAATTGATCCCTTCATCATTATATAATGACCTTCTTTGTTATAGTTTTTGGCTTAGAGTAAAACTCATTAATTGGCACTG